AACTGTGATTGGATTTATGAATTTATCTACCTGTTTGTAAGTTGCGTGAGTTCTAATCTGCTGTCGTTATTATCATCGTCATCCAACCAATAGAATGCGTTACTCCTACTTTCTAGGGTTTCGATCCACTCTTGCGAATCGCTTCTTACTGGTGAATTGACATCTATACCCTCGTCTGAGTTTGTACGAGTTAAATGATGCCATTCACTGTCATCGTCTTCATCTTCTTCTGAATCGGATTCATCCCACTCTTCTTCTGCATGTGAAATTTCTTGCCAATTTAAACTATCTGTACTCGTGTGTAAAGGATATAAACGCACTTCTTCATCCGATTGAGATCCTTGTGGGAATTCAGCGTGATGAGTGATTTGATTTGTTTCTTCCATTGAATCATCTCTTTCTTCATATTGCATGATAAAGACGTCGTCGTCATCATCATCATCATCATCATCATGTCTTTCTTCTACTTGTGAAGAGAATTGTTGCGGATTGTAAGCTTCCTGTTTGCTTGTTAAATTATTTGTTTCAAATTCTTCACCAATTTCATGAACGATTTCTTCAGCTTGTCGGATGTTGTCATTGACCTCTGAAGCATTTTTGTCATAGTTATTCAATTTAGAAAGGAAGCCTTTCCTGTAGTCATATTATGAAAGGACATAATCAGATCAAAAACTGAATGAAAAAAAAAATGGATAAAATGTATACCTTATATCAGATACAGAATGTGTTTGCCTCAATAACCCTAATTCACTTTCAGCAACAGAAGCCTGTTTTTGATCTTCTACAAACCTTTGATTCCTCAAAAATCTACCTTTCAGCAATGACTACAACAGAATCATAGCATTAGTATTTAGTACAACAAAGAAAGAAAGATAAACCATTTTGTAATATTTACAAAAGTTGACCTGAATTCGAGGGCGATGAGGGAAATTTGATACGAATTGATTTTTCAATAAATCCTCAACCTCTGTTTTCCTTTCTCTCATAAACTTCGCTAACAAGTCCAGAACAGCCTGTCTACCATATATCCTACGGATAAATACCGATTCTGCCCTTGAACAATTATTCATACGTGAACTATACAGTGTTTGACCTTCAAAGCTTTTGCTTCCCCAATCATGGAAAACTTTCCTCACGCGCTCTTTTGCAGGAAAATCAAGAGAAGGAGAACGCTTCAAGCACAATCTATTATGAACTGCTTCTTGATTTTGGTGTTGAGGACACTCATTTTCAATTTCACTGGTGTCTGTGTCCCCTAATTTCTCATACTTTCCCTCGCTTTCAAGATCACGCCACATTTTCCTGATGGATGATGTTTTTGTCACTTCCATTTTCTTCAAACTTTACCACAACGATTCTTGAATATAAATTAGTCTGTTTTTCATTCTTGAAAAATCCAGGATCAATAATACATTTCACCTGGATCACAACAAAATCATCAGATATTCAGATTCATGTTTCGGAATCTGAATTAGAAAAGTATCACAAAATGTTATCTTAACGATTTCAAAGGAAATAAATACTGAAAATAATTAGTTGGTGTTAATGTAGGTGTATAGGCCAAAATTAATTCGTATGTTTTGCCTTTGTAGATTCGACATAACAAACAAAAACAAGACATTCGTACAGAAAATAACAAAATCAATAAAGAATATAAAGCTATTGAAATAAATACAATAAATAAATCGACTGAGAATAATTAACAGACATGTGAAATGTTCTATTAAACACTTTACGTCTCCACAAATTCTTCTTTAGCATTAGCGAAATCAAATCGCCTAATCATAGAAACGAATAAAAAATTATACGACTTAAATAAATAAGTTCATAAAAACTATAACAGACTGTCTATGTAGATTCAACATTAAAAAAAAAAAAAAAAAAAAAAAAAAAAACGTCCTTGAAAATGATAAACCAAAAAACTTACGAACGGATTGAAAAAACTGAATACAGCAAAATAATCAAGACCTGTGAAATGCTCTGTTCATTATGTCTCCAAGTTCTTCAGTAATAAGAGTAGAATCAAAGTGGATAATCATAAAATGAACGAAGTACAATCCGATTGATATGATTATAATCATTATATAAATATTTTTCGTAGAAAAAATAAATCTATGAACCTGTGAAAATTCTTATGCTGTTTACCTCTTTTCCTCTTTACACCTCCAAATTCATCTGTAACATGACTGAAAAGTAAAGAACCCTGTCATAAAAGCAACAAAGAATCCACCGTTTGAAATAAATAAGTTCATAAAAAGTGAAAAATCTCTGTTTATTACCTCTTTACGCATCCAGATTCTACAGTAACATGAATGAAAATTAAACAACCCTTTCAATAGTAGGTATTAGTCACACCATTGTAGAGAGAGAAAATGTGTGTGTGTGTGTGTGTGTGAGAGAGAGAGAGAGAGAGAGAGAGAGAGAGAGAGGCAAGGGGGGGCACGTTTTCTCTTGAAGTCGCATAAATTGTGCCTCAACTGCAACGTCTAATTTTGAAGGCGGAGGAAGAATGGGCTATTGTAAAAAGACTATTCTGTCCTTTCCTATTTAATTTTGAGAATTTGCCTTTTTACTTGCTTTCCTGCGAGGAATTTGTTGAGTCTTGAATTCAACGGTAAGTCTGAGAAGATGACGAGACGGGTCCATAGTAAAGATAAATACGGTGTCGTGCGACTCACTGTTTTCCTCCTTTTCTTTTTTCTTTTTTATCTTTTACTTTATTATTCTCACGTTTAAACCGAATAACTATTTTATAAAAATTAGTATGATCCCACATTTAAGATAAACCGAATAAAATATTTTATAAAAGTTAGTATGATCCACAACTAAGATAGTACCAAACCGAGCATGCAAATCTAAGTTGTAAAGTGCCTAAACCATCTTATCAGTGTAACTGTGTATTTGAGTTATTTTGTTTTATTGAATAATTTGCTAAATATTGTTAAGTTGTAATGGATTATTTTGATGCGCGGGACAAGTTTGATTGATCAGTTGTGTTCCTGAATAATATGTAAACGTTTTTCAGTTTTAATGGATAATTTTGATGAAAATTCGTTTGTTTTAACTTTATAAAAAAAATTAAAATGATGTGAGGACTAATGTTAGATAATAGAATGTTTCATTGATAAATATTGAGGTTAAACATCATATAAATAAAGATACATAAGAGACTTAATTTAAAATCTAAAGCATGGGCGGATCCAATGTAGAGCCCGAGGTAGCTCGGGCTACCCTTCAAATTTATTTCGGTAGTGTAATTTGTCTAGGAAAAATTCGTTTTATATGGTGTATGTATACGTTTCCTTTCACTTATAAACACAAACAAATATGTGGTCTGCTAGATAAGGCATTAGTATATAGTAGCAGAGGTCTTAAGATCAAATCTCTCTCATAACATGTTCTTTGTATATCTTTTATTTTTATTTTCCCGACTATTCTATCTCACATCGCCAAACACATAAATTCAACCATTTTCGTCCATTATATTAACCTAATATCATCATGCTTCATTAGATATTTACATTGATTCTCACATCGATTCAGGTATCAAAAGATACTTCAACTTCATCTTTATATAACAAGACTTGAGGTTACATAAGGATTCGATTAAGATTTAGGTTTAAAATCGAAACCGAAGTACCCCAAAAACAATTTCAGGCCACCTGAAAAAAATTTAGGATACCCCTTTATTTTGATTCTGGCTCCGTCACTGCCCTAAAGGACCCTAATTACTAACATCCCCCGCAGTTTGATCGGGAGAAGGCGATTAAACTGGGAAAACAAAAATATAAAACATAACATAAATAACGACCACGGCAGCGACGGCAACAGAGCTCTAACAATGACGGCTAACAATAATTGCTCGTTGGAGAATGAGAGAGAAGAAGCGGCAGCCAGTGGCGGTTCCTTTGTATAAGAATAGAGTATCGACAGCGGTGACGATCGTGCACCTGGCGGCAAAGGAGTCTGGAGAAAGGCAGTGAGAAGAAAGAGGGTTCGAGTTGCGGCGGATGGAGCCAATACCAGCGAGATCGCGACTACAATGTTGATAGAGAAAGAAACGACGCAAATCAAAAGTTGCACAGATGAGAAGTGTCATATGAGGGAGGCAAGAGTAGCATCGAAAGGAGCTGAATCAGAAAAGAGTTTTGAAGAAGTGGTCAGCCGAGGAGGAGGCAGAAGGCTCATGAGTCATTTGAGGAGGAGTCAGAAGCAAACGAGGCCGATGAAAGAGTTCTAGTTTGATTTCGGCGACTGTTTTATTATTTAGGAGAGAGAGAGAGAGAGAGAGAGAGAGAGAGAGAGAAAATATGGAGCATAATGAAGGCACCTCCGACGACTATGAGAGAATGTCGTCAGAGGTGGATGCCGACGTTTGCGGGTTGTGATCAGTAGTAGAGTTTTTAACCTATAACTCTGATATTATATTAGATAATAGAATGTTTTATTGATTAATAATGAGGTTAAACCTCATATAAATAAAGATACATAAAAGAGTTAATTTAAATCATAAAGGGTTTGAGCTAAACCCTAATCACTAACACCTAAGGTTATATTTTTGTAATTTGGATAACCAACTATGTTTTTTGTCGCTTAACTTATCCAGACACCTTATTAAGGAAAAAAAAAAAAAAAAAAAAAAAAAAAGTAACATGTTGAATGTTTAATATGATCCGGCTTGCTTCTGTGTCGTTGCCAAGGTGTTATACATGTTTAGTGTGGATTTTAACTTATCCCACAACGGGAACACATTAGTTAGAGAATGGAATCATAATAGTAAGGCACATTATCAAAATTGTGTAACATACCTTGACGTTATGGCCTTAAGATTGGTACGAGATTGGACCATTATTGGTATGATTTACTTTTTGTGTGTATGGTTATTGTGTGTGACTCTTAACATGATGGGCGTTAAACGTACAAGCTCTTACAACGACTTTTTCATTTTATTTATTTTTTGTCTTTTATTTTATATACGTATTTACTTTACCAATGACAACGATAACAAAGAGTACATAGCCAGGGCTATGAGGTGCAAAACAGAAGAAGAAAAAATACTGAAAAAAATATGGCAAAATTAAATCCTGCGATAACATTCTAAAATGGGATTACAGCTCCATTCTATCCATCTTAATTGTAGACCTTTCTGTTTACGAGCATTAATTCATAAGTATGAGAGGGATTGAAGCTCGTGAGTCAGCACCAAATACAACTTCAACTTTGACGAGTAAGCTTTTAGGCTTCTGTAACTACAAACCACCCAAATGAACACCAGCATTATGGCTTCGTGTATCAGTGACAATATTTGGCGACCACCTAGCTTTGATCTACATTTGAGCAACTCATGCACCGAAACAGAGGGATACTCAAACAAACGCCACCAACTGCATACCTGTTACCAGACGTCTTTCGAAGTCAAACACTCAACAAAAGTATGGTCCATCGTTTATGGGGCTCCGTTGCATGTCTTACAAATGCTCGTTGACCCATTACAGAGTGGAAACGATGACGTAACACCCACCTAATGATATTTAATTCCTTTCTCTTGAATTGTTTTATCTATTTATATACCTTTTAATGTTAATAAATAAATAAACAGTTAAAGAGAAATGGATTAAATATCATTAGTTGAGTGTGACGTCATCGTTTCGACACGCCCTACACACTTGACTTTGTGGAATAGCTGCAATTACTTCAAGACATATGCGAGTCAGTCGGGCTTCAGGCACAAGAAGAAGTATTTTTCGTATTTCGTTGAATGAATACTTATTGGTATATATACTTTGTGGACAACTAATATTCAAATTGAGTTTAGTCATTTGATGTATAAATCTTGATGTCCAACCTTATATAACATACATTATTTTGGAACCTTATATAACATATATTATTTTGTAAACGATACCATCAGCTGCCCTTCAGTTGTATATTTAAAGTTTTTAGATTTTTAACGACAATAACTTTATTCACCATTTGTCTTTTCAGTTCAGGTTATAACTAGCAACCATAGGTGGGGCGGTCAACCCATTTATGATTTATACATAACATCCTTGCTCGCACGATATTATCGGTTATAGGCAGAGAAATTTACTAAATTTTTATATTTAGTTGGTGAAGAAATATTTCATGTAGACTTCTCGGTTCCAACAATGATTGTGTGTGTCTAAAACCTTAAGTTTCCAGACTAAAGACTTAACCGGATATTAAGTTCTAAAAGTGTGTGATCATATGCCCTAAACTTCAAGTTACGAAGTTTACTAGACTGTTTGTTCATTTGTCCATTTCAAATCGTTCTAGTTTATTTGTTCGGTTCAAATCGTTCTAGTTGTATGATTGTGTGTTCAAAACTTTAAGTTGTAAAGTTTACTAAATTTGTTGTTCGCTCGTCATCTAAATCTATATTTTAGTTTTTTGACGACATTTGGACAGCATAACAGCTGTATTTTGATTAGATCCAGATTTTACCCATTGAAAAACCAACGATTCCAAATAAATGCACAAGTTCAAATAGTTGTATGATTTTCATTTTTGGTTTATTTTATAATTAAACGAAAACTAATAATAAATATAGTTATAAACTCATAAATAAACTTTTAACATTTGTGACTTATATTAAAACCATATTTTTAGTTATTTAAAACACAAAATATGATATTGAGTTCTTGTAGTTCAAAACAAATATATTTAGTTTTTGCATTTTAACAACCCTATATATATATATATATATATATATATATATATATATATATATATATATATATATATATATATATATATATATATATATAACACAACATGGAATTATATAAACCATTACTCTAATGTTTTTATTGTTATATAAAGATAATAATGAGTTATGCATGTATTCTGCCCCAAAAACATAAAAAATTTAAAAAGGGGTCGTACAACTCACTTTCTGTAACACTGTGATTTTTATAAATTTTTGTTTTTAATTTTAAAACTATCTGAATACGTAGCAGAAGACTTAGTTATTTATTTCAGATATTTTCAAATCATAATTGCAAATCATTTAAATCAAAACAAAATTAAATGTTCAAGTTGATAAAACATCAAACCTGTCCAAAATGGTATCATCAAATTCAACATAACTACCCCATAATTAACCCCTCTCTCACCAAGGCCAAATTCCTAAGTTGTCTGCATAAATCATAAGTCACAGAAGATAAAAGTCACAAGTGTCAACCTCTTCTGAGTGAGTTCATAAAGGTTGCATATAAGCATACAAACCCCAAATGGGTTAATCAATCATTTTATGATGAAGCATAAAAATGAGAAACGAATACCACTTAGCAAACAACTCCATATCATAGTCATTCAATAGTGTGTTCAAATGCATACATGCATATATGTTTAACCATAATTCTATCACATAACATATATAATCATCCATATACCATATAAACA